TTGAAGCGAGCATGAAGATATAAAAAGAAGCTGCCCCCCCTAAAGAGTGATGGGAAAGCGAGCAGGGGAGGGATCCCTCCCAAACGCATAGACAAAACACAGAAGGAAAGAGGGGAGAGCAGAAAAATAAGTGACTAAAACTGTTTTAAAAGACTTACCAGAGCGCAGAAAAGCATTTGGGCAAATATCAGAGACTTTAGCAACTTTTTTGAAAAGTAAAAAAATCCAAAAAGATGGTGGGGAAGAAACCAGAGAAAGCGAAGCTGTTGAAATCGAAACTAGGGGCCAGTCCTCGAATGGATAAGGCCACTGAGCTCTCAAAACTCTTGGCTGACTCCCTGTGCCCCCTGCTGGATGAGATCACTGGCATTAAACAACAACTGTCAGTAATTGGGCGGAGTGTGGCAGCGCAGCAGATGCAACTGACTCAATCCTTAAAAGCAACAGAGCAAATGGGAGAGAAGGTGAAGGAAATGGACGTCACTACTAAAAAAGTTAAGAAAAAGGTGCAAAAGCTGGAAATGAAGCAATCTACAGAAGAGTCAAAGCTTTTACAGCTACAAATGGATAAAGCAAATTTGGTCCTACGGTTTAGAGGGGTCCCGGAAATTGAAGGAGAGAATCTGAAGCAATGGCTGAGTGAAGCAATACCCCCAATGACAGACTTAACAGTGGAATACCTTTTCAGCGAGATGGATGTGGTCTACAGGTCCTATTCATCGTACATCAAGAAAAATAATCTGCCTGGGGTAATAGTGGTCAGATTCTCAAAGAGACATGTGAGAGATGCTATTTTGAAAGCAAATTTGGGAACACCCTTGGAAATTGGGGGCAATAATATCAGGATTTTAAAAGATATTCCATTTGATATAAGACAGAAGAGAAAGAACTATAAATAATTAATCCTTTTCTTACAAACAAATGGCATCAGTTACAGGTGGTTAACCCCAGAATGCGTCATTTTCAAGATTAACGATAAAAAAGAAAAGATTGACTCTGTTTTTAAAGCACGTGAATTTCTGCGGGCACAGCTTGGGGAACCAGAAGAGGGCAAAGAGGAGGAAAAAGAAAGCAAATCTGATGGCGAGTTGGGCTCGGGGTCTTCGTATGAGGACTCCCCCTCTGAAAAGGGGGTGTCTGTCCCCAAAAGCCCTTATAAACTGAGGATTAGAAAAGATAAGAATAAATAAGGGCTGAAGGACTCTGATTTGTGCCTGAAAAAATGTTGAAATAACTTGGGGATGCTCTGGGAATTTCTTTAAACAGTTAAAGGGATGGTTAAATGATAATTAATCTAGCATAACTGACTAAGTTCATTGTATTATTAGTAGCTTTTTGAAAATAGCATGGTGTTAAGCTAATGTATGATCTCCTACTCTTGGGCTTTTAGTTAGTTGTGGGTCTTTTTTCTTTATTCCCTAGATGTATTTCCCTTTCCTATATTTTCTGTTGTAGTTTTGTAGTCTGAAAAAAACCCAATTAAAAACCTCCCCCCAGGGGGATGGGGGGGAAGTCATCATTCCTACGTTAATTAGGATGGTGTGCTATATATATAGTTAATTGATGTTGTGACCCCAACTGTAGTGCTCTCTGGGGTATATATGGGGAAAGGTGGTCCCTCAGGTATGTCACACCCTGGCCATATCGGGCTTTAAAGGTAAGTAGCAGCACCTTGAAGCAAATTCGGTATGCTATTGGCAGCCAGTGCAGTGCCTTCAGCGCAGGCCAGACGTGCTCCTATCTAGAAAGACCCAGATGGCCGTGGCATTCTGCACTAGCTGCAGCTTCCGGATTTGCGACAAGGGCAGCCCCATGTAGAGAGTGTTACAGTAGTCTAGTCTTGAGGTGATCGTTGCATGGATCACTGCAGCCAGGTCATAGCGATCGAGGAAGGGAACCAACTGCCGAATCAGCCAAAGATGGTAAAAGGCCAACTTAGCAGTGGCTGCTACCTGGGCCTCCATTGTTAAGGAGGTATCCAGGAGCACACCCAAACTCTTAACCTCCGGTGCTGCCACTAATGGTGCCCCACCGAAGGTCGGGAGTGGGATCCCTACCCCTGAACTTCCCCCGACTCAGGCACAGGACATCTGTCTTCACCGGATTTAGCTTCAGCTGGCTCAGTCTAAGCCAACCAGCCATGGCTTGCAAAGCCTGGTCCAGATCTTCCAGTCTGGAGTCTGACTGGCCGCCCAGCATCAGATAGAGCTGGGTGTCATCAGCGTACTGGTGACACCCCAGCCCATACCTCCGGGCAATCTGGGCAAGGGGATGCATATAGATGTTAAATAACATTGGGGAAAGCACTGACCCTGAGACACTCTGCACTCAAGTGTGTGTCTCCTGGACTGCTGTTCCCATAGCACCACCCTTTGTCCCCGACCCTGGAGAAAGGAAGCAAGCCATTGCAAGGCAAGCCCCTGAATCCCCATGTCGGCAAGGTGGTGGGTCAGCAACTGGTGGTCGACCATGTTGAATGCAGCCGAGAAGTCCAACGGCAACAGCACTGCCGAACCGCCCTGATCCAGATGCCTCCGGAGGTTATCTGTCAGAGCGACCAGCGCTGTCTCCATTCCATGTCCCGGGAGGAAGCCGGACTAGAAGGGATCTAATATGAAAGTGTCATCCATAAAGCCCTGCAGCTGTATCACAACCCCCCTCTCAATTAATTTGCCCAAATAGGGCAAATTAGAAACTGGCCGATAGTTGGCCAATTCAGCCAGATCCAGTGATAGTTTTTTTAGGAGAGGGCGGACCATCGTTTCCTTGAATGCCCCCGGGAACCAGCCCTCAGAGAGGGACTTGTTGATAATTTCCCTTAGGGCACCTCAAAACCATTCATGGCCAGCTTTAATAAGCCAGGATCAAGGCTGCATGTGGTTGGGCGTACAGCTGCCAGCAATCTGTCAAGTTCCTCCAGGCTGAGCAGGCCGAAATGATCCAAAGCTGGAGTCAAAGATGTGCAAGGGGCCTCGAGTTCACTCACTGTTTCAACTGTGGTGGGGAGGTCATGGTGGAGCGCCAAGACTTTATCCTCGAAATAGCTTGCAAATGCCTCGCAGCTGATGTTCAATTCCCTAGCATTTGGTCTGCCCTGTGGCAGAGCTGTTATAGACCGAATCGTTCTAAACAATTGGGCTGGGCATGAGTTTGTAGATGCAATCGAGGCCACATAGAGCTTTCTCTTGGTGGCTTTGACTGCCATCTCATAGGATCTCATAAATGTCCTATAAGATGCTCTTGTAGCTTTGTCATGAGCACAACACCACCGTCTCTTTAGCCATCTCAGCTCTTGCTTCATAAGCCGCAACTCCTGGGTAAACCAGGGAGCAAGCCTAGAGCGAGGGCACAGAGGGCACCGGGGAGTGATCTCGTCAATGGCTGCAGAGAGCCGGCTATGCCAGTCCTCCACAAGCTCATCCAACAAGCCATCAGGGGGAATCGGATCCCGCAGAGCCATCTGGAGCCACACAGGGTCCATTTGGCTCCATGGGCAAGCTAAAATACATTCACCGCCTAGACAAGGTCGGGGTGGAACATTGAGACGGACCCTCAGGGCGTGGTGGTCCAACCACAGTACTGCCGAGGCAGTAATCCAGTCCACTGTTACCCCAGACACAAAGATCAAATTGAGCATGTGTCCGGCCTGGTGAGTGGCGGTCGTTAAAGATTGGGAGAGTCCCAGCATCACCATGGACAACACTAGGTCCACTGCCTGAACGGAATATTAGCCTAGGGTGTTCCAACGCCCAGCCTGATACAGCCTCCATCCGGGATGGCAGGCTATTGGCCGATGTGTTAGGTGGTCGGTACACCAGCCAAATTGCCACACTCTCCTCGGCCTCCCACACCAGGCCAACACACTCAATGCCCGTGATCTCCAACTGCAGGAGCGCCCTGAAGGAGTAAGCCTCCCGAATGAAAATAGCCACTCCTCCCTCCTGCCCCTTAATCCAGGATTGGTGTAGGACTGAGAACCCAGGAGGGGCAAGCTGAGAGAGAGCTACAGTCTCACCATCCCGCACCTAGGTCTCTGTCACGCACACCAGGTCTACCTTCTGTTCTAGCAGAAAGTCTCGAAGGACCATGGTCTTATTATTTATAGACCTGGCGTTGCACAACACCAATGTCGGAAGGGGATTATCCATCCTAGCCCCTCTGCCAACAACCTTCGGGATGGGTCGCAGGCTGGAAGGGCACCGAGCCATTCTGTTTCTCTGCTCCCTTCCCTTAACTCTCGGCCTGGACCCACCACTATACTTTCCCCTCTCCAGGAGCACCGGGATCCTATGCCCAGGAATTGCCACACCTAACAGTCTTCGTGTTAGCCTCAGACCACTGGTGGGGCTGATGAAATGCACCCCTTATATGCTCGTTGGTAGCAGGCTGCTGCTTCTGATGCTGTTAAATCCTACAGTTATCCCACCCGTCCTACTATATAATTCAATATCCTATAAAGGTTGCTACCAATTTCAAGTCACCTGGCCAGTGAATAAATAAAGGCCAGTGATAAACCTATCCTACCAACTAATGTCATACATTAATTCATTAATTAGTTAACAATTGATCAGTACTAGCAACCAAAATCGCATCAATTACATAATGATTATAGTTATTTTAGTAGGGTGGTTTTATAGCCTAATAAGAATCAAACAATCCCTTTAATTACAACTAATTATTTCATTTATATCCAGCTAAAATACATCCTATTAACACCTAATTTATAACATATTCCGTTAAACAATTTATTAATCCTCTAATATAATTAGGGCTTTCCTCTCCATCCTCCAGGCCAGCAACCATCTGCCACAGTGATGATGAAAGTTACTGCTTGCCAACCAAGTGGTCTAAGTTCTTCTCCAGTTCTCACATCTGCACGGAAAGGGGGGGAAATTGTGCCGCCTCCCTCTGCTGTTCATTGGTATAGCCAAGCCACTAGGGGTGCTCCAATCCCCGGATTCCCACTGGCTCTGAGCTCCGCTCCTCTCTCGTCCTCAGTCATGACCACCCAGTCTGTCCAGTTCTCACATTCCAATGAGAGAATCCCCAACAAGCTGGGGTCCTCTGCTATCGCAGTCCAGCCCAGCCGCAAAAGCACCACTGTAGTTGTTGTTACTCAGAGGCCGCTAGGGTCACAACTGCCCAACGATCACCACCGTCCCGGGCTCACAGTTGCCTCCTGGAACGCTGCCCGACTGGAGAAGCTCCAGAGAAGAGGAAAACCCTCCCTAGGCTTTCCCATTGCTGTCCACAAGCCCAACACGAGCAGCGCTGCCACTGCAACACACACGGCTGCCACCGGAGTGAGATCTCTAACCCAGTTTCAGCCTCAAAATAGCCGCCGCATCGGCGAAGCAGAGGCCATAGAGCCACCGCCGACACCACCAGTGCCAGCAGGAGCCTTACGCCAGACTGGGGAGGTAAGTAGCACTCTCATTGGGTAGGCCAGCTAGGAGCTCCGTGTCAAGCCGGGGCTGTGCCAAGGGTGGGTAATAGCGCTAGTAATAGATGTTGCAGTTTCTCACCCTATGCCCCTGCAGCAGCAACTGGGGTATCATTCTCAGTCCGAAGTGTTAGCTGTTATCAATTGCCAGTTCACTCAGGCACAATCAGTTGCAGGAGCACAAGCACAAGCTCCCTGCATCGTCGTCATCTTGTTGGGGACCCAAAACAAATTTCTTTCTTCCATTTTATCTTGACAACAACAAGCCTGTTGGGTAATTTAGGCTGAGACAGAGTAACTGGCCTAACATTACCTAGTGAGCTTCCATGGCAGAGTAAGAATTCAAACCTTTGTTTCCAAGATCCTAGTCCAACAAACACCAGATGAAAAGAGGAATGATCATAAACAGATATTACAAACATGTAACTCAAATAATATTAAAACTAATTATATTTTAATTATTTAACTGAAAAATAGTATTCATAGCAATCTGCTCCTTGAATCAAATAGCAGCCTGACATCTAGCAAAAGACTGGGGATGGCACGGGGGTGGGGGGGAGATGTCGGCGGTGGCATGATGACAGTTCCAGGAAAACCCCAGAACTGATGTCATACCTCTCTAGAAATTGTCGGAAACACTATAGTAAAACAATCATGTTTTCAGCAATTGCTAGACTTGATAACATTTTTGTACATCCTGCTGCCTGCTGGAGTACTGGCAGGCATACGGCAACCCTAGAGGAGTGTTCGGTTAGTATTCAAACCTTCCAGCCAATATTAAATCAACTGCCATATTTGAGTACATTATATTGGTCTACTTAATGCACCTCTTCTCAGCAACGTTTGAAGTCTTCAGATACATTTAAGTTAATGGAAAGCTTCAAACACTGCTGAGTGAAATGCTGAAGATTCGGACCATAAACAGGATTCTATATTTGTACTGATTAAATGCTGTTTCCCAAAGGAATATCTCATATTCCATACAAAGGTACAAATTAGTGTCAAACAGTGGAGATTTTTCTAGAATAAATCATGATTTTCTGTCTTTTTTAATTTTAATTTTAAATATAACAATTATAGAAATTTCAACAGTTACCCCCCCCCTTTCCAGCAATGTTAAGCCACTCCTAGAAAACAGTACCTAGGTGGTCAAGGCCTTTATTAAATGCATAAGTGTAAGTACGGAAAAAAGTAAAAAACATTAGGGAAAGGATTATGGGTTTAGGAAAGCTATTGCCAAGTCTCAAAAATATATCTGCATAGTTAATGACCCAAGTGAAGGAAGCCATAAAGGCAAACGGCTTCTTTTAAAAAGTGGAAGGTCTGCCCCAATGGAAAAAAAGAGTTGGTTTTATACCCCACTCTTCAGTACCTGAAGGAGTCCAGGAGAGGCTTTACCTTTCCTTCCTCTCCCCACAACAGACACCCTGTGAGGTAGGTGGGGCTGAGAGAGCTCTGAGAGAACTGTGACTGATTCAAGGTCACCCAGCAGGTTTCATGTGGAGGAGTGGGGAATCAAACCCAGTTCTCTAGATTAGAATCCACCACTCTCAACCACTACACCAAACTGGCTTTTTGTTTTAAGAGCACAGGGTCTAGCAAAAAAGTGCAATTTAACAATTAGGCAAGAGAATGGGAGAAGCATCAAGACAAGCAATTAGCATTTCCATAAATTGATCTGGAGCAGGAAACTAGCCAGACAGGTAGTCATGCCTTTGGATGACCAAGAAATAAAATTACTGCCCAAAGAAGATGGGGAAATGGCAGAGAAGCTCAATGAATTCCCCGCATGCATTCAACGTGGAAACTGTGGGGCATGTACTCATGCCACAGCCACTATTTTCAGGAAGGGAGTCAGAAGTACTGAGGCAAATTGAGGTGACCAGAGATGAAGTTCTAGACCTATTGAGGAAATTAAAAAATAATAAGTCTCCAGGTCCTGATGGCATGCATCCAGACAACTTTGTTAACATCTCCATGCTGTCCCAGTCTTTCCTCATTTTTTTCTAGTTCTTTCCTAAACTAGTTTTCCCCATACTTCTTTTTCCATTGTGAAATGAATTCGCAAGATAGCCTCTTGCTCGGAATCTGAACTTTTTTCAAACTTGTGGATTGGTGCCCAAAATCCACCCAAAAAGGATGGGTTTGGGTAGCAATTTTTAAAATATTTTTAAATGCATGCTGGTATTTCACCCTAACCTTTGATGAGTAGCTCCAAGGTCAGCTGGTCTAGCTTCAAGATATTCTTTCCATGTTGCTTTGTGAGGCACTGTGACAGCACATAAAATATGTCACATTCCTGTGATTCCTGCAGACAGAAGTTCAAATGTCCTTATGCCACACACAGAGATTGCCACAATTGCTATGATGGGTGGGTTTTGCCCTGGGAGGTAGAACCCCCATGGGTAGCTCTAGCTCCCATTTCTTCCCCAGCTGCAAGGGAGAGTAGATCATGAAAAGGCAGAGCTTTAATATTTACTCAAGCTGCTTTTCCTCATGTTGTATTTGGGATGCGTTTAGTGGCTTAATGGTAGAGCATATGTTTTTACACACAGAAGATTCCAGGTTTAGTCCTTGACATCTCAAGTTAAAACAGATCTTGGGTAACAAATGCATTGTGTTATGACTTTTCTTTTCATTTTGCTATGAGATCTTAAAGCAAACTGTTTCACATACAAGCATACATATAAAAAAACAATTATAGCTGTGGTTTCCTGTAACATACATTTCCTCTCAGTCATGTGAAAAAAGAGAACATGCAAATTATATTTCACCATTTGTAGAGAAAGAGATAATCATTTGGTGGTTTGTCTGACTCCACAAGATAGAACATTTTGACTTCTTTGAGAGAACCATAGTGTGATTTTATTTTTTAAAAACTTTCTTAGCAAAACAAGATGACAATAAAGTGGCCATTTCAGGCACATTATTTGCTCATCCTGACACATGTTATCAGCGGTAAGTGATTTCTTCTAACAAAGCTGTTCCTGTTATGGTGGTGAACCTGTTTTTATGCCTTAACTAAGAATCCAGTGCATATAGTGATGTCTACTGTAGTGTTTCTTTTTAATGATATAAGATTGTAATTCTGGCTGGCTATTGTTGGAGGCAAAGAGCTTGACTAGATTGTCCTTTGATCTAAGCTAGTCAGTAATTCTTATAGTCTTCTGATAAAAGCATTAATGACTTATTTTCAAAGGGAGCTTTTTAAAATGAGTTCTTAGAGTGTATTAAGGATAAAATGATAAAGTTCCTTTCTCCTAAAGGGCAGCACTAGGTTTATGTTATTGTGATTATGGAAGAGTATTGGTACATACCCTACAACATTTCAGGACGTGCTTGTAACTCTTCAAATCTTATACCAAGGTTTGTTGCTTAAACCTCCTACTCCACCACCACTGACATGTACACGAAGCCAAAGGCTCTGGTTCTGCTGGAGTGCAGTAGGACCAGCTTATCTTCGATTGCTCTGAAACCTAAGAGGGAAAACCATTGGAAAACCATAACTGTCCTAAAATATGTTACGAACAGTTCAAAACATATGGCAGCAGCTGTGAAATGGCAGTGTTTATACTGATGGTGTATACCGGTGGTGTTTATACAAGTGCATTGATCATCATTTGTGTTCAAGATAAGATGCATCCAGCCTCATAGTTTTAACTTTTAGAGATGCTGGGAACAGAGATGTACCTTGAGAAATGACAGTTCTAGTCAGGGGTCGTTTCATAGAAAAAGAGGTGCAGGAGCTCATTAGCATAACTCATTAGCATAACTTATTTGCATATGCCACACCCCCTGACATCACCAGAAGGGTGTCAGAAGGCAACACCCACCGCTCAGGCTCCAGTGGACTGTTTTGGACTACTAGCTATTGGGGGGGGCGGAAACATGCAGATCTGTCCTCGCAGAGGAGGGAGAGCTTGTACCTGAATAAAACTTGGTCTTAATGGTGCCACTGGACTATTTTGGACCAGGGGGCCGGGGGGAGCTCTGCAACTTACCTGGCTGCTTTTTGCTCTGACTGAGGGCTGCTGGGAGCATCCTTTTGGCCTGGGGCTGCTGGGAGCAGGGGGCGGCGCTTGTTGCATGTGCCCGCCCCCTGGGCTCTTTACTGCCGGAGCTCCGCTCCTGTGCGCTCCTGCAGGAAATGACCCCTGGTTCTAGTATCTCACACTAAGAAAATGGTGAGGAGCAGACTGGAATATTAGAACAGCCCTGGAATAACTTGAGCCAAGTGGCCCCTACAGGGCTAGCAGCACCACAAGGTCTACATGGCTCACCCCCAGGCCATGGGAATGATGACTAGGTTCTGCTTTCTCCTGGCAGCTAGTGGCTCTCCAAAGGAGAGACTCATTGAGATCTTTCCCAGGGATGTGGGCCTGCACAGAAGGCCACTTGATGAACAACAGTTACAGGTAAGTACAACCCCATTTTCATCATTGCGGCTTCTGTGCAGTCCCACATGGGAGAATAGCAAGTTCACCTACTCAACAGAAAAGTGCTCGTAGCACAGCTTTTCTTACTGCAGCTTCACTTCTGGAGTCCACATTCATCAAGTAGTGTTTGATGAATGTAGAGGGAGTGGACCAAGTTGCTGCCTTGCAGATGTCCTCCAGTACGAGTCTGGCATGGAATGCTGCTGAAGACACCTGAGCCCTCATCAAGTGAGCTTTCAGGGACACTAGGCAAGACACCTTAGCTTCCTCGTAAGCTGTTTGGGAGTACAAGTGGAGACCCGCAAGAAACTTGCGGAATGGTTATCCTATTCCTCACACCTTTGCTTCCTCCTGTCTCCCTCTACCTCTCTCACACTCTTTTTCCCTTCTGCCCCCCCTTTCTTTTTCTCCTCCAGCTATGGCATTATACTGATCTGTAGTTCCTTCCCTCCTCAAATCCCACCCTCCCCAGGCTCCACCCCACAAATGTCCAGGAATTTCCCAACCTGGAGTTGGCAACACAATTTCCTTCCCACCCAACAGCCAACCTACCTTTATCTGCCTCTCTGTCTGCAACTTTCCATCTCCACACCCCTCTCCCACAGCCTCTACCTAGGAAAATTACAGTTTTTCTCCACAGTGGGGACCAAAACAGCTTACATTATTCTCTCCTACTTTTTATCTGCACAACAACCCAGCTTTCATAGGGTGGCTGCTGATGAACAGTAGCAAGCAGCTGGGCCTACTTGAGTCATGCAAATCAGGTGGTATCAAGGCACCCAGAGGGTGCTGCCGAGGGATGCCAGCCTCCAGGTGGGACCTGGAGATCCCCTGTAATTCCTGCTCATTTCCAGACTACAAAGATAACTTCCCATGGAGAAAATGGATGCTTTGGAGGGTGGACTCTGTGACATTGTACCCCACTGAGGTCCCTGTCCTCCCCAGGCTCCACCCCCAAATCTCCAGGAGTTTACCAGCCTGGACCTGGCAACCTTATCCAGAATCCCCTGTCGGTGGCCGGGGGGGACCTGGCAACCCTAAAGTGCTGGCAGGCCCAGGCTTGGCAACCTCTAAGTGGGGCCTAAAGGAAACCCCCCCCCAGACTTGCAACTGAACTCAAGGCAGCAGAGATCTGTGACTCCCTGGAGAAAATGATTGTTTTAAAAGGTGGACTCTGTGGCATTATACCCAGCTGAGGCTTCCCCAATCCCACCTCAAAACCTCTAGGGACTCCCCAGGCCAGGCCCCAAGGCTCCCCCCCACCCTGAACGTTCTAACCTCTCTCACACAGTTGGTGTCTGAAGCAGATCCCTGCAGAGGCCATTTCAAAAGGTTTTGGGGGGAATTCAGCCGTCCCTGAAGGGTTTTTTCTAGTTTTTGGATTTTTATGCAGGCACTGGTAGACTACTGAATATGTAAAAAAAAACTGCTGGGCCAGAGGGAGCTTCCTTTTCCTGGGAATAAGCATCCGCACACGGCGCCATCTGTTGGAAATTAGATATATAGATGTGTCCTTTAAATCTAGTGTGGTGAACCAAACAAATCTAGTATGGCGAACCATAAAGGCCATCACCTCCTGTATGGATAACATCCTGAACTTTGGGACATTCAAATGTTTATTCAGGGGTCTTAGGTCTAAAATGGACGTCTTGCTTCCACCTTTTTTGTCAATGGCAAAATATTTAGAAAAGAAGCCCTTTGTCCCTCAGGAGCAAGCTTTGCAATTGCTCTTTTAGCTAATAGAGAGACCTCCTGCTTTAGAAAGAGGGAAGGGTTGTAGGACTGGGCTGGAAGGTTTCATGCAAAGGCTGTGATTTGAAACTCAAAAAATAACCTCTCTTTATTATGGATAACACCCAATCATCAACAGTAACTTGGCACCACTTATAAAAGAATTTGGATAACCTATCCAAAAACCCCTGGTCAGAATCTAGTCAGGCGAATGGGGCACCAATACAGTGCTGGTCCCTAGGGCTTGAGAGGGGTTTCTTCACCATTGTCTACCCTGACTCTTGGGCTGGGAATGTTGAGTATAAGAAAGTCTGAAGCCCTACTGGAGGGGCAGAGGGGCCTGGTATCTGTAGTCCTGTGCACAATAGGACCTTGACTGGGAACACCTCTGGGTATGCCTTGGGAAGTTGTTGTTGTTCAGTCGCACAGTCGAGTCCGACTCTTTGCGACCCCATGGACCAGCTCCCTCTAGGCCCTCCGGTCTTCCGCCATCCTCTGAAGTTTGCTCAACTTCATGTTCGTTGCATCGCTGACACTGTCTAACCATCTCATCCTTTGCCGTCCCCGTCTTCTTTGACCTTCAATCTTTCCCAGCATCAGGGTCTTCTCCAGTGAGTGCTCCCTTCTCATTTGGTGGTCAAAGTATTTGAGCTTCAGTTTCATTATCTGGCCTTTCAGGGAACAGTCAGGGTTGATTTCTTTGAGGATTGACTGATTTGTTCTTCTTGCAGTCCAAGGGACTCTCAAGAGTCTTCTCCAGCACCATAGTTCAAAAGAATCTATTCTTCTGCGCTCGGCCTTCCTTATAGTCCAACTCTTGCAGCCATACATGACTACTGGGAATACCATTGCTTTGACCATGCGGACTTTTGTTGGCAGGGTGATGTCTCTACTTTTTATCATGCTGTTTAGGTTCGCCATCGCTTTCCTCCCAAGGAGCAGGCGTCTTTTAATTTCATGACTGCAGTCACAGTCTGCAGAGATCTGGGATCCCAGGAACGTGAAGTCTGTCACTACTTCCACGACTTCCCCTTCTATTTGCCAAGGAGTGATGGGGCCGGATGCCATGATCTTAGTTTTTTTGATGTTGAGCTTCAAGCCCACTTTTGCGCTCTCCTCTTTTACCCTGAGCAAGAGGCTCTTGAGGTCCTCTTCACTTTCTGCCATCAGAGTGGTATCGTCTGCATATCTGAGGTTGTTGATCTTTTCCCCAGCAATCTTAATTCCCGCTTGTGATTCATCCAGGCCAGCATTTCGCATGATGTACTCTGCATATATATTAAATAAGCAAGGCGACAATATACATCCTTGTCGTACTCCTTTTCCTATGCTGAACCAATCAGTTGTTCCATATCCGGTTCTAACTGTCGCTTCTTGGCCCTTATACAGGTTTCTCAAGAGACATGTGAGGTGGTCTGGTACTCCCATCTCTTTAAGGACCTGCCATAGTTTGTTGTGATCCACACAGTCAAAGGCTTTAGCATAGTCAATGAAGCAGAAGTAGATATTTTTCTGGTACTCTCTTGCTTTCTCCATAATCCAGCGAATGTTGGAAATTTGATCTCTAGTTCCTCTACCTCTTCGAAACCCAGCTTGTACTTCTGGTAGTTCTCTATCCACGTACTGTTGAAGCCTAGCTTGTAGGATCTTGAGCATGACCTTGCTAGCGTGTGATATGAGTGCAATTGTGCGATAGTTTGAACATTCCTTGGCATTGCCCTTCTTTGGGATTGGAATGTATACTGACCTTTTCCAATCCTGTGGCCACTGTTGCGTTTTCCAAATTTGCTGGCAAATTGCGTGCAGCACTTTAACAGCATCATCTTCTAAGACTTTGAATAGCTCAGCTGGAATACCATCACCTCCACTAGCTTTGTTGTTACTAATGCTTTCTAAGGCCCATTTAACTTCACATTCCAGGATGTCTAGCTCGAGGTCAGTGATTATACCGTCGTGGTTGTCAAGGACATCGAGGTCTTTCTTGTATAGTTCTTCTGTGTATTCTTGCCATCTTTTCCTAATCTCTTCTGCTTCTGTTAGGTCCCTACCGTTTTTGTCCTTTATCATGGCCAGCTTTGCATGGAACACTCCCTTGATTTCTCCAATTTTCTTGAAGAGATCTCTAGTCCTTCCCATTCTATTGTTTTCCTCTATTACTTTGCACTGCTCATTCAGGAAGGCCTCCTTATCTCTCCTTGCTGTTCTCTGGAAATCTGCATTCAGTTGGGTAAATCTTTCCTTTTCGCCTTTGCCTTTCGCTTTCCTTCTTTCCTCTGCTATTTGTAAAGCCTCATCAGAAAGCCACTTTGCTTTCTTGCATTTCTTTTTCTTTGGGATGGTGGTGATTGCTGCCTCCTGTACAATGTCACAAACCTCCGTCCATAGTTCTTCAGGCACTCTATCTATCTACCTTGGGAAGTACCTTTGTATAAAAAGTATTGATGAAGTATGGGTTATGCCCAAAGATTTGGCTGTCAACTTGTTCTCCTCTATTTTGGCTCTCATATCGAGCGGAAGGGCAGTGTAACCATGAATATCTCTGTATGTCAGTGCCAGAAGCCATTGATCTGCTACTACAATCTGCTCCATGCCTTGCAGCATGGAGCTGCTCTTTCACTAATTTTTGACCTTCTGCC